TTGTTGGGAAGTTTTTCTAACAACTGGTGTGTCAAAGTGATTAGAAATTTTGTATATCTTTCACGGACCCCTGAGAGTTCCTCATCCGTAACTCCAAAATGTGGAGAAGACGTCATTTTGTTGAAACTAGCGCCCAAATATTCTCGATCGTTTGGCAGGTAGTTTTCGGTTTTGCTTAACGCTTCTTTCAGCATATCAATTTCACATCCGCGCAAAGTATGCGTGTTTTCTAATTGTTTGATTGACTGGTATCAGAAAACGTGTAGCAAGTGAAAAGATCGACGTACGCAGATCTTTATAAAGTTTCGTCACATCAGCCCGTGTTGATTGAAAAACAAGGTTAATTTCGTTTAAGTCTTGTAACATAGGCTTCAGAAATGTTAAATATAATAAATTTGTCTGATCCTGATCCGTGCTCAGTTGCCTTGCAGTATAATCTTTGGAGGAAGCCATCATGTTAAAAAGCGTTTTCGGTTCCAACCATTGCTCTAGTATAAGCGAATACTAGCTGGATACCAAATCAACCATCTTGTGCAAAGCTTCACCAATTCAGGTGGATCCTTGAAGTCATTCATAGCCTAAAATAATATGAAAATTGTTTGATTGTTTAGGATTATCAAGAATTTTTATCCAAGAAGATAAAGTATATTTTTATTATTTCGATAACTGTTATACATTATGTACCTTATACAGATTAGCGTATTCTTCTTTTCGCTTGAAGCTGTTCGAAAACCAATTTCTACTTTCTCGAATCAAAAATTCCAGCGAACAAGTTAGTTCTGCACAGGCTTTCGATGCGCAATTGACTACTATGTGGCATATGCATTTTATTAACTGCAAGTTTGGTAAATCTCTGTCTCTCAACAAAGCAAACAAGGAATGTTTTTGGCCACACAAATTTGCTGCACCATATGTGCCAAGAGATGTCAGATTCTTCAACGGCAACTTAATCGTCTTAAAAAAATCAGTAAATGCAATGTACAATGCTTCCGCAGTGACAAGTGGCACTTCGACAACACCTAAGAATTCGGTGATTAAGTCATTCTTTGTCCTGCTATATGACATGCATAGTGCCAAAAATTTGTTGCTCGATATATCTGTTGACTCGTCTACAATTACAGCGAACGGAGTTTCACCGATATCCTCAATAATTTATTTTAATATTGATGGTCCAATGACAGATGAAATTAGTTTCGAGCACTTGGTTCGATGCAATTTTCAATTCTCCAGTTTCCTACCTTTGCCTAGCCACAGCCAGCCGAATGTCATTTGTTTTTGCCGAATTATCAATCTGAATGTAACCTAAAATAAATAAAATCATAAAAATATAATAGGAAAAACAGAAAGAACCAATGTACAGTTACAGAAATTAATTCCTTGCCTTTTTCGCAAACTTCAAACTTAAAAAAGAAATAAGCACAAATTCAATTTCTATATTCTGTTTATTAATGCTTTTATAATTAACATAAGAATTAATAATAAATCTGATACGCCTTTTCCATACCTTTAAATGCGAGGTGCATGTAATAAAATAAGTGTAAAAACATGCATAAAATCATAATTTATGTTTTAAAATATACTGTGGCGTCACCAATAATATAATAATTTCATATCGAAATAGCTCCCATCACAGTTAAGTAGGTCGCGGGACGGGGCTTTTGTTGCGAAGTACCATAACGACCGCCAGGCCGCGGACGCGCATTGACAGCTACCCGACCGACCGCTGAGGAGGGTGTCACTTGGTAGCGGAAACATTTATGATCCGTCATATACACCTCGCTTCACCACCCTTCGCGGAGCCACCGGGCACTCAAGACAAACAATACGCGCCCTTTCGCCACGCGCCCGCGTAAGAAATCCAAATTCCAAAAGGGGTTATTCCCAAAGGGGTCAACAGTCGCCGGCTGCCGATCAGTCTCCGCTGACAAATTTATGGCCTAGGAAAAAACGCAACCGCTCGAACAAGTGTTCGGACAGCTGCGAGGGAAGCTTCTGGAATCGCTCACACAGAGAGAGAGAGAGAGAGAGAGAGAGAGTGGGCCCGAGGTAGAAAGAGAGATCTCCCTGGAAAATTCCGTAAACGATGCAACCCGATTGAAGAACTTCAAAATTAAAACGCATTTAGTTTAGGCCTATGGGACGTCTCATCGTGAGGGAAGGGGCAGATCTGCAGGTTCGGAAACGTTTTGGGAGGGGGAAACTGAGGTAACTTGAACGCGAGATGTGCAGAGAAACTTCACTTACCAAGCAGATTCTCGAATAGACACTTCCCAAGCAGATTCTCGAATAAGCACTTTTAAGTGAGACGCTCGAATAAGCACTTATAATTCAGACACTCGAATATTCACTTATCACGCGGACTCTCGAATATTCATTATAACGCAGACTCTCGAATAAGCACTTTAATTTTCTCTAAACTACGCCTAAAGTCACTACTGAGAGAACATTCTTCACCTTACCGCGGAAGAAACTTGGGCGGGAGATGGCAAGATCACGCGTATCTTTCGCATAAGTTGATCTGCATCCGCCGCCTGGTGCCATATCGGGCCCATTCAAGCCCGCACTAAACCACGGCCAGCACCCGTGTGTCCTCAACTGACTGAGTCCTCACGATTTGACGACTCTGTCGCCCCGCCACGCTGCCAGCTGAGGAGGAACACCCAGTGGGAGGTCGGTGACCTGAGACCGCCCGCCGTCTTCGAATGAGGACCGCCATCCGGCCGGTCTGCGGAGCCACCGCCAGCCAGTGGTGAATGATCCGGTATTTAACCGGAGTCGAGCTATCTCCCGTAGTTATGACGCGGGGCTCCCTCGCAGGACATTTAGGCGAGAGATTAAGAGTGGCCGCGCTCAGGCCGTTTTTTTAATAGTTATAGATGCATGAATTGTTATCAATAAGTCATTAAAATCAGGGTTAAGAAATTTGTTCATTAACTGTTAAGATTATGAGCTCGTAACATAAAGTTAGCAAATAATCTGTGTCGCTCTCTAGTGACCTGTAACTTCCCTGGCAGCTCATGGTGCCAGGAATAAATTCAATTTTGTTAGAAACGATTCAATGGACTGATTTATGACCTCCCTTCACTTCCATCCATTCGTTACAGGAACTGAACCTCGCGCCCGACATATCCCGACTGAGCGGCCAGCATTTCAATACATATAATAAATTTATATTGTATTGAAGACTTTTTGGGTTAACTCCAATCTCCGGCCACCTACGTGAAGTTGGCTTAAAATACGTGACATTTCAGTGAAGAGATTAGATTCTTAGTAACTTATTGAAAATATTGAAATATATACATATTGCAAATACCTTTTGTCTAACTCAAAATCTTGCTCTTTTTACAAAAAAACGGTATTTTGTTGGCGCTGTAATAGCTGTGGAAGGGCGCATAGAATTCATGCTCATTTTTCTTTTCGTCAACTTTAAAATGTTCCTGGTACCGCAACTTTTACACAGTTGACTTATACTTTTTTTCATTTTTAAGAGAATTAAATAGAAAACAAATTATTGTTAAATAAATAAAAAAGTTTGTGTTTTGAAACTAATTACTAATTAAATATTAAGCATAAGAACAGATTTTAAAAAAAAGAATCCACAAAATCTGTGAAAAATTCTGTAAAAGGTTGGTTGGGAATCATTTTAATATATACAGATCAATTAGTATAAAAACTGTCCAATCTCCCCCGAGATGTCGCAAGAGAATTTTCGCGTGCTGTATGTGTTTTCGTACGACGATGATCCAGGAGATCAGATTTATCCGCTCTCAGATTTGTTGCACACAACTTGCAGTAAGCTTCACCTTTTCTGGCCTTGACTGCTTTTTCCGTCGAAAGTTTAATCCATGCTAAAGTTGTTTTTTTCATAAAATTTTTTTCAATGTTCACGAACAAAAGATCAAGGTAACTGATGTTTATCAATGAATTTAATTCGCTAACCTTTAAAAGATGGATCACTTTCCCACTGTTTGTTATAACGTTTTAGATATTTTTCCCACTTTCCCATTGCTTTTGAATTTATCTCTTACAAATAGTCAAGTGGTAAAGTCGGTTCTTACTCAGTCGGTAATTTACGAACCGAAACGGCGCGATAATTTAAAATATAAATTTTACATTAACGATAGTGGGTTTAATGTTTAAAATACTTTGATGGCGAAGGTGTTTTTTGATTGACCATTCGTTTCAGACAACTCTAATCATACTAAACAAAATGTATCATAAGGTGCTCTGACGCATATGTCTATGGTTTACATCAACTGCGCTTTTGTTTTTATACGTGTTTAGAAACATCTCTAGTTTCAAGTACGGTTGTTGAATTCTCCGAAGAATGTTATGGTTTCGGGAAACTCCTTTGATTTTCATATAGTAATATACGAGATTAATTTCGAGAATTGAAACCAACCATGATGTTTGGTAAAACATATAGAGAGAGATATTGTATTATTTTATCTTCATTATATATTCAATTGAAATTCGGTATATATTATATACGTATTGTTATAGTTTTTATTTTTTATTTCTAAATTTTTAATAGCACAATTTGCGGCATGCAAAAATGAATTCCGCGAATTGGTATTTTCTTCCGCAAAGTGTACCCCATTTCCAGCCCAAAAAGCGGGATTCCGCCCAATCTGGTAACCCTGACTCTATCGTTGCCACTCAACACTTTCCCGCCAAACGTTTTGACGTCATTCAGGACATCTGAATCTCTTGCTTTCAAAATTCGCAGCTCCATGGAATAAACTATGGAACTGATTACGTTCCATGTAAAGTGGCAGAATGAAAAAAAGAAAATCAATGAACTACCTATGGAACGCTTTGCTGACAAGGCGCGGGGTGCGAGTGATGAAAACGAGTGTGAACTTGTTTGTAAATTTTGTTCTTCAACACTTGATAGCACTTGACGGTGATTGTTAAACAGTTTGTCTGTGAAATGTTTCTAATAAACTAATACTTTAATTTTATGAAATGAAATGGAGCTTCTATTATTGTTTTTGTGGATGTCGTTTAATGACGTTCACAGCAACGTAGATTATCCTTCAAACATTAATGAACTAGTGGAACTTGGAAAAGAACAGTACATTAGCCTAAAGGAAAAGACGACAGTACTGAAATATGGAGAATGTTGGAGAGATGCCATTAGTAATCTCCACCAAGGCTGTAATGAGTTAACTGAAGACAAGCAGAGTGAAATGGCTCTTAGGTTTACTAACTGCTTTTTGAAAATGTCAACCCATGAAACTACTGACTGTTATAAATTTGAAGGTGAGAGGAAAAAGGAGTGCACACATAACTTATCAGACAGAGCATTCACTGTCTATACTGAGTTTTATACACACACTCAAAATATTTGTTTCTACTTGAAGAGCCAAATTTGGCATGACGAAACAGAGGACACAATCAACAGATTATCCTATGCTTCTGACAAGGCAGCAAATCAGTTGGAAGAATTAGTTGATAGTAGTGTAAATCTCAAGCAAGCATTGGTTGATTCGCAAAGCAATCTGAAGGTCATGGTGGCAGAATTTCAAATAGCTGCCTCTGAACAACAAAGAATGTTGTTTGATGTGTTTGACCGTTTGTCTTCACTGCAAGAGTGGGCTGTTGGTGAAATTTCATGGTTGGACACAGTAGTGTTTTATTTGTGTGGTGTAATTTTATCACAGGTTCTTACGGCCACTCCTCGGACTCAAAGTGCTAGATTTTTCCTTTTCGTTGCTTTTACAGTAAATGTCATTGCAGAAAGATACCTTTGTCAGTATTTTATCAATAATGGTTCACTGAAAATTGACAATTTAAATGAAAATCTGTCTTGGTGGGTTTGGCTGTGTCGTAAAATTCTCATAATTGTGTGTGTTATAATTTTAAGTATTGCAGTTATTCAGTACCAAGATTACAATGTGATAAATCATAATCTTTTAGTGCAAATTCAAGAACAAAATATGAAACTTTTAAGTTATTTGGAAAAAGTGAAAATGCTTGAAGGTTCTGTAACTACAAATATTCCCAGTGAAACCAGAGTTAATGTTGATTCGGATTGTCAGGTTGTTGGTGAATACTCTCCACTTAAGCATGAGCCTGAATCTCAAATTATTACACCAAGTAAACTTCCACATAGTCCACGAACAACAGTTGCTGTGTTAAGAAAGACAGAACAAGTTATTCAGTCTGCTTTGCAGTCAAGCTTAGATCATATTGATATAGTCCATATGCCAAACAGATCAGGTTCACCAGCTCCATCTTATAATAGTACCCAGAGTTCAAGCAGTTCCCAAAGGAGACGTAGGAAGTTAGACTTCAATACTGAAGGTGGTAGAACAAGGTATAACTTACGACATTCAAAATTGGAAGAATGGGAGTATTAAACTTTATATCCTCTTCGATGAATATGTCAAAAATTCATGACATATAATTACCAATGATGTCAAAAACTACCTGTCATCTAATTCAAAAAGCTGAGACAAATTAATGAATCTCAAATCATATTTTGTTAGTACTTTTTTATATTAATATTTTATAAAGAACATTATTTTAATTTTAATCAATGTTGAAATAATAGTTCACAGGCTGGGGAATTTTCTTGGAAATTTTTGTTTTTATTTATATGCATGAAATGGAATTATTTACATGGAATGCTTGTGAAATGTTCAGAGCATTACAATGAGTCACTGTTGTAAAAGATGAAAACGATTTTTTTTTTTTTTGCTCTAAACTTTTGATGTAGCATTAATTTAGTTTTGCTTTGTGTGTTTATTTGGTATTTGGAAGTATTAAGTCTATTTTTCTAACTGATAGATCTAAGGACTGTCTTTTGTTGATTCCACAAGTATTCAAGTTAAATTCCATATTAATTAAAGACAGACATATTTATTAATTGCTAAAACATTAATGTTCTCATTACATCACAGGACAATGTTAATGATGGGAAATTTTTTCCTCATCAGACTAGTGACATTGTTACGAAATGAAGCTGTCATGAATACAATATATTAAAAATTTGTATCATAGTTATGTGGTGAGTTATGAAGTACCATCAGAACAAATTGCATAAAACAGGAAACCATTTTCATCCACTGTGTAGAATGTTATGTTAAGTTCAATTCTCAGGTTGTTTCCTACTATGTAAAAAGTAGGGATGGGATCAACTCACGTTAGGTCTAGTATTCATGGCAGCTTAATTTCGTAACATTGTCACTAGCCTGATGATTGGGGAAAATACCTCCAAACCTCACTATCACCATCATTGCCCTGTGATGTAATGTGAAAATTAATATGTTTCAGAGATTAATAAACATGACTGTGTATGATATAAATGGAACTTTATTTGAATATTTCTATTTAAAATATGTAACCCATTTAAAAAAAAAAATGATTTTATTGGATTGTACTTAATTTAACTTGATTTCTCTTAGATTTGAAATGCAATTTCATTTCTTGATCTCATGATTTTCCAAGTTGTGAAAAAATTTGACCCCATTTTTGATTGTGATCCCAATGTAATTAGCCACAATGTTATTAGTGTTTGCATGTTTCATATGCATTAAACATTGTTTGCAATTAGATTGCCCAGATTTTTGTGAATTTATTTAAAGAAATGTTTTGTGAAAACATTCTTAAATATTATATTTTAATCTTTTGGTTGGCCGACATTATATGTTGATTTATACTGAAAATGTTTGCTTTTCATGAAATAAGGTTGTACACATTGATGTTCAAAGAAAGGTTAATACCTGTGATAATTTCTTTTAATTGTCATGTAAAAGCACTCTTAAGAAAATTTGGAAATGTTATGTGTACCAATGTTGGTGTATTCCATTGCAACTAATGAAACACACTAACATGAAGAGTTTTTGGAGAAGAATTTTGTAGTTAAGGTGTACAACTAAGCATCAAAGATGTCTCTTTAGGTATGAATTACAGCTATTTGTAATTATTCTTAATTATGAATTCCAAGTTACCCTTATGTTATTGGAAATAATTATTAGTAGGGAGAGGATTTTTGTGGCCTAAAAACCTTGAAAAAAGGTTTTAAAAATATTTATTTATGACCTAATAATTCAGAAATATGCACTTTTATATGCCATTAAAATTAACAACATTTCATTTCCAGTATACACTTTTCTTGATGACATTTCAGGTGAAGCGTGCTTGGAATGAAATGATATATTTTTGTGCAAACGTAATATAATCTACCTTCCTTTTTGGGAGATATAATTGAAGTAAATATCCACTTTACTGAAGTATGTTGTATGTCATGTTTCATTTCTTCTGCATAGTTTAAAAAATATGATATCAAAAAATATCCTACGTTTGCACAAATATTTTATCCCCTATAGAAAAAAAAAAGCAATATCATAACATCAGTGCATATTCATCTTACAATTTTGCTTCACATTTGCATTGCGGTTTGTTGCAAATACTATATACATATTGTCGAATGTAAAAGCCCAGCAATTTTCTGCCAATAGGGACTTGAACTTTGAAAAGTTTTCTTTGCTCCCTCTGTATGGTGTTTGTTTTCAAATCCAATATCCCTTTTTTTGTAAATAAAAGTTCAATATTTTTATTAACATTTTGCATTGACATGTTTATGGTGAATGGATTGATGAGACCTATTACATGACAATTTGAGTGAATGAGATAGTTGCTATTACTTCCAGTTTTGCTATTCTGGGATGTATTGGGGTTCACAGGAAGCATGGTGTAAATGCTACTTCATCCTCTCTCCTCCATCTGTTTTTTCTGCCCTCTGTGACATTAGCAGAAAAAACTTACTAAAATTGTTACTATAAAATATAGGAAACTCACTTCACATTTGTAATTACCTCAAGTCCTAAATAATTTTCAAAATTAGAAGTGATGACACCTAGCCTCTGATTCTTCTGAGACAAAATGAAGTATTCTGACTACTTGATCGTAAGTGGTTTAAGTAATTTGAGCACTAGGTAAGAATGAGTAGATAAAATATCCTCACCCAAAAACTTGTCCTTTTAACTGACTGTGCATTTACACAGTCAGTTAAAAATTGTTGTTTTTTTTAAAATTATATTTATATTCTAAAGATGTTCATTATCTTTGTTTACCCATTTTTAAATAAAATTTTTAAAAAACATATCAAAGATTTTTTTCTTTCAAACACTTAGAGACTTGTCTAAGATTCACCATCAACATGATCAATTTTATGACACAACAGGGAAGTTAATGTCTGCTAGAGATAGTATATTTACTGTGATGAAAGTCCAAATAATTGAACTATTTGAGACCTATTTCATAAGGTTATTTTTTTAAAGCATTTTGTTTAATATTTTCTAAAAGAAGCAAAATATAATAATATAATGACAAGGTTTTACTGTAAATATGGGATTCAAATGATGTATGTATGTATTTTTATATACTGCATTAAAAATTTGGTAAAAATGTTTTTAACTTGCCTTATTTCCTTATTCTCCTTCCTGTTGTTTATAGAACAATGTATCTAAATTTATTTTAGTCAAAAAACAGTAAACACTATGTGACGTATGGGGGAAATGATAATGTACGCATGTCGTTTTGAGTTTCAGAATCTCTTCCCATCCTTTTAACTATAAATAGATGAAAGATGACTTAAAGATAAATAAATAAAATTTTTAAAAAGCGTAAGATTAGTGACTTCTGAAAAACTAGACTTTTCGTTCCCAAGTTATAGAAATCTTATTTGCAACGGTAAACAAACTGCAGGTTTTATTTCCTGCATTGCTAACAATATAATCACTTGCCATTAGGTCTACCAACCACAAGCGAAAGGGGAGTTCAACAAAACGTGGGCATCATGAAGCTGCATTTACATCCAGAAGCAAAATAAGGGACCATTTCAGTATTTGTTCAATGTATCAGGGAAACTGTACAAAAACCTGATCGAAATGCGAGTCACTGACATGGAAGCTAAAGTACATTATTTGTTACAAGCATATTAAGTCTTTTTAAAAAAAATATATACAATACAAATACAATTCAATACAATACAATTTATTATACATCACTGTTTTGTTAAAATATTTTTTTTAAATTTTGATGATCAGTATAGTATGATCAATAATCATAAATATCAGTATTGCATGAAAATATGTTCCCACTGTTAAGTAAGTCAGTTTTGACAAATATTACGGATTCGTAAATAAATTGGCAAGGCAATGGTTAGATTCCAAGTTCAATGAAGAGAGGCTTGTAGGGATCACATAGATGGCATTTTTTCATTATTTGAATAATTTTCTTTTGCAATCTAAAGGTTTGGATACAACATGATGAGCTTCTCCAGAATAGAATGCCATACCTCAGGCGGGAATGCACATTTGCAAAACAGTGGCAGCAAGCAGCATGATGTTGACAAAATTTGAAGGAATTCTGTATGCGTAACATAATGAACTTTATTTAGTCTTCAATTCTGTTATATGTTCATTCCATTTGAGGTTTGACTGAATTCTTTGCCCTTTTCATATATCACTGATATCTTCACCCTGTTCATGTATCAAACCTATACTATTGATATTTACAGTAGCATTTACAAAGCACAATAAGGATTTAATTTTGATTTTAAAGCTGTGGTATAAATGAGCATTACCTTCCTTATTGGGAAAATTCTATTTTGTTTCATACATTATTATAACATTAAAGACATCAATGTAGGCCCTATCTTCCCAATGATAAAAAATTCATGGAATATTACACATATATTTGTAGGCCATTTTCTTCAATTCTGTAGCCCTCGGTGGCTCGTTGGTTATCTTGCTCAGTTTCCAAAGTGCAATCCTGAGTTCGATTCCTGGTTTGGACAAAAATTAACTGTGCATTTTCTTTGCAATGCCTGTATATATTGCTGTATGACGATGAGAAAGCTCACTTCTCAGGTTGAGGAGACCAGAATACAGAATAGGGATGGCTATGTGCTAACCATACGTACCCTTCAACTCATGGCTGCAAGGCTGATATGCCTTACCTCATAAAGAGCTGTCGTACATTCTTCAATTCTCAGTGTTCTGTACGTGGAAGTTATGCTGAATCAACAATATTTTTGCATGAAAATGAAAATCCATAAGAGGGGTCAGATCCTATTATCTTCAGTATATGGAAATTCTTCACATGCATCCCAGTGAAATATATGTAGGAAGACTAAAATTCAAGAGTATAACTTTTTCATGGGTGTAAAGAGTCGTTCATAAATTTTGTAATGCTAATGAGGGGGATGGGGGTTAGAGGAAGATTAAGCTGCACATGGGGGTAAGAGTTTAAGCTACATGGGGGTAAAAGGTGTTAGATTAGTGTTACAATATGCTGATATTGTTTTTTTCCAACATTAGCTGAAACAATTCCTTTTATTCAGTCTGACATT